TAGTTGATTCTTCGCATTCCAGTCCTCTCTGACTATGAATTTACTGCCAAGTAGTTAGAAGAATGCTTTGTATTCATCTGTGCAGATTGTATGATGAGATGGACTGTAGATTACAGTTTCTTGATGTGACAGGCAGCTGCGGATGATTACCGCCGAGCCACCATGAGCTGTACCATCGGGGTGAGGTGTGCTATATGTATTATATAGCGGAATATTGAACGTAGTTAGATTGATAAAGTGGGTTTCTGAAATAAGCAGTACATTGATTTTATTTAGATTTAATAAGACAGTAAGTACTTTCTATTTATGGTTTAGCAGGCCGTTAGCGTTCCATGTGACAATTCTAAATATGTTTAAGAATTTCTTTGGATAATAACTTGTGTTAGTAAGTTTAATATCATGCTATTTTGAGTAACGAGTTGCGAAAACATATTCAATTTGTGGTTGGTTTGATGCTGGATTGTGATTCTTTAATGAAAACATCAAAGAATATATACAATATATGCTGGCACTTTGCATTCTTTAATGGTTGTGAAAATTAGTGACTTTGGGACCGTTGGTTTCCTTTTTTTGTCATATTTCTGTTTGCTACTAGTTCTATCTAAAATACACAGCCCTTATCGTTAGCAAGGTGATCTGGTTTGCATAGTACACACTTACCCGGAGTGTTTCTAGGTTTTTACAAGTTTTTATATCCTGTTCTTCTCCACATTTGACGCAGTAGTACTGTAGCGTTATAACTGCTACATTGCCTGCTTTCTTTCTTATGTTAATATATTTCGTTAATTCTATTCTCCAATTTCCGTATCTTCTGTCATAATTCATATTCTTCTATATCCTCCATTGTATCTCTTATTTTTCTATATATTTTCTCGGATATAGATTGTATCAGAATTATGTCGTTACTTAATTGATTCATTATTCTCTTTTCATTTTTACTGGTATTTGGTATAAAAAATAGTTGGCGTCCAAATCTATCTTCTTTATATATATATATATATATATATATATATATATATATATATATATATATATATATATATATATATATATATGTGTATATATATATATATATATATATATATATATATATGTATATATATATATTTTAGTATCTACCTTTCCTATTTTCTTAATAATCATCATTTTTATCTTTTACTCAAGTTTCTAAAGAGTGAATTTTATTTTCATCTCTATTTCCGTTACTTTGGAACGAGAGGTCCCATCTTTATTCTCTGTGACATTTCTCCTTCCCGTTCGATACAAAAGTCCATATAATCGCTTTTATTTCTGAAAAGGTCGATTTTCTTCATGACTTCTCTAAGAGTAGAATAACCAATTGTTGTGTCGTCTCCAGATTTGGAGGTAAGTGTTTAATATATTTTATCGATTTCCTAATTCCACCTGTTGTATAAAAATCTTTTTATAATTTTAACTTTAAAAATTCTAAGCTCATTATTTGTGAATGACATGTAAGTAGGTACATATTTTGTGGATTTCTTGTTTTTTATTTAATATAAAAAACTAGCGATAAGAAATATATAGTTTCTTTAATATAGTATGTAAAAGTTTTACGAATATTTTTATAGTTTTAAATATGAATTTTAATTCCATAATATTTTTTGATTTTAATAATAATTAACTTTTGACAAACTATCATTTCTATATAGCAATGTTTCTAAATTATCTAGCTTTTCAATAAATATATCTTGGTATTTTTTTATTAATATTAGAATATTTCAGTTTTAAAAAAGTAATTACCATTTGCATTAAGGTTATATCCTTACTTTTACTTATTTGCCTATGATAAGTGCATAAATAAGAATTGTTTCTCGACTTGCTTGGGTGAATAATGATAAAATTTTGTTAAATTTGATTGGTCACCTTATTCATCCCCCAAGCAAGGTCTCTCATTTTGGTTTCACCATTTTCTAAAGCAAGGTGTGTTTTTCTTCATTTTAGTCAACCTCCGGGATACATTTCTCAGGTGCGGGTCAAATTCTATTACCATCCAGAAGACCAACCGGCCTGAGAATGGAACCATTATTCCAATAGGAGAGTTGACTCCGAGACAAGGAAATCCAAAACTACCAACATGGCTTGCTAACAACCAGAGCAGAAAAGACCAGGATAAAACTTAGGATTTGGTGACAAACAGTGTTCTTTCATATACCTAATGTAACACTGTAGCAAGAAGTCGAATAATTTTTATTTAAATTCAATACGATATTTAACATTTATTTTTCTGTTTTTTTATATTGTAATAAACATGTGTTAATTTAACTGTGTATTGTTTCTTCTTTTTACTTGTTTGTGTGTGTTGCTCCAGAGTAGGCCATATTCACGTCCTGAGTGAGCTAGCCAGGGAGTGTTTCGTATAACGTCTAATGTAGCAATTTTGTAATTGATACATTAGGGGTTATGACGTTAAAAATTGGTCCCAACGAGAAACGATTTGTCACTCCAACGTTGTTAGTGATGTTAGTCAGGTTGTAGCAGAAAACTAGGGTTTGCGGTTGCAGGTTGACAACAGCAGCTCAACGTTGGGATGTTACAAATTGAGCCTCGAAGGGTTACAAATTGGCACCCAATGAATATTTGTTGGCACGTCATCGATTGACGTCCAATGAATGTTCGTTGGAACGTTACAGTACAGTTAAGTGCAATATGTTTTACTTCAGCTGTATGCTTAACATTGTATGCACTGGAGTTTCTCTTATTTATATATATTTATATCACGCTTAAAAATTGAATATTTTTTTCATCTCTACAGCATTAGTATTTTGCGGTAAGGAGATTAAAAAACTAGATTCAAAGACCTAATAACGACTAGAAGAAAATGCACGATTCTTAGACATAATAGGGGCTGAACTGAGAAGAAAAAAGGATTTGTCTTTATTTTTTTACATAGAACATAACATGTATTAGGCATGTATCAAAAAAAAAAGAATTTTTATATAGCTAGATGAATAGTGAAACTTCATGTATGCATTTGTGCAAATGAAACAGAAGCAACAATACATCAAATATTCCTTCAAATGTAAGTTCCGCTCAACAACAGATACCTCCCCAACATCCATCTTCCAAGGAACTCTCGATATTGGCATCAGAAACGAACATACAAGGAATCCGTGCCGACAGGATAGACATGTCTTTCCGAATTCATAAAGTGACTTTACAATTCCTTTTCATTTCTTTTCCAATATAGCGTAACTCTATAAAATTCCCTTTTCAATTTATTTCCTTTCTACAACAGTGGCCCCATAATCCGACTCCGAAACCCTCACGTCAATCAACGGAACAAACATCCCGAAAAAAACCCAAAGGGAAGAAAAGGGAAACCGCAAAACTATGAGTTAAAATCCTTGTGACTTCGTCACCCTCTTCCCTGTTGACTGATTTTTGGACAGGAACGACGAAGTTTTAACTTTTCAGTTTAAAAATTTCTTTGTGGACTATTGCTAGTAATTGCAAATAAAAAGATTCTGAGTTTTAAAATAATTTTTAAAAAGTAATACTTATTTTGGGATATAATAAATATAATATGTAGCAATAATTAGTACAATACATTTTATTCTATTCTTCTTATACTTTAAAAAAGTATAAATATAAAATTTTTTTGATGGTACACAAGGCAAATATCGAACACAGTAGTTAATCAAATCTTGCCCAAGTACTTTCGATCACCAGATCATCCTCAGGGGCATTTCGTCAGTTGTGGCCTATCCAGCAGTAACAGAATGTCATAAATGTAAATTGGGACATAACAAATACACTAAACAAAGACAAACAAACACTTTAAAATTTAAGAAATGGAGAAGCTACATTTTATATAGAAGCCGGAGACAGAATCTTCTTCTTCTTCTATATAAAATGTAGCTTCTCCATTTCTTAAATTTTAAAGTGTTTGTTTGTCTTTGTTTAGTGTATTTGTTATGTCCTAATTTACATTTATAACATTCTGTTACTGCTGGATAGGCCACAACTGACGAAATTCCCCTGAGGATGATCTTGTGATCGAAGGTACTTGGGCAAGATTTGATTAACTACTGTGTTCGATATTTGCCTTGTTTACCATCAAAGTTCATTTATTCGAACATTCAACCTTATATTGATTTAAATGTAAAATGTTCACTGATAGAAATGCTAAATATATAACACACCCTTAGCGAAGGAAATGTAGGTCAAACTAGAAAAAAAATGTAATACAAACACTAATATGTAACATATTATATACTGTATATACAAATAATTTGTATATGTGTATAGATGATATCATATTGATACTTATTTATCAGAAAGAAAAATCCAACTTACCTATTTATACAAAAAGAAAAAAAAACAAATGTAAAAAATGGCAATTTGAGTGAGTTAAAAAATGGTTCTTATAAATTAGATTTTCCTTTCACGGCATTGATGTGAAGGCTGAAGTACTTTATTACTTCTACCACATTGCTTCGTTATCCTGCAGTTGCGTTCCTTGCGTTGGCTCAAAGTGGAATCTATTTCTTACAATATAATTTTGAACTTGTTTTTGAGAAGAACCACGCTGAAAATTTTGAACTCGACGTTTTGGCACACATTTGGGAGCCATTATCAAGAGGGGTATGGTTCCGTTCGAGTTAGGGGACTCAATCTGCTTACTTCTCTCACTCGTGACGAACTAATATCTTGTTCTCCAGAAATACGAGAACCATTAACAAGACTTGAAGTCTCAATCTTCTTACTCCTCAGTGTCGGGTGACGACCGGTCTTACTCATGTTACAAAGAATAACAGGTATGATACTTCTTCTTCTTCTTCTTCACTGGCTTTACAACTCATGGTAAGTCTTAGCCGCATCCACTATCCCCCTCCATATTCTTTAATTCTAGATAAATCGGCTTTAATATCATCTTTCTATATTTTTCTCGGTCGGCCTACAGATCTTCTACCATCTGATCTTACAAAAAACACTGTCTGTAACACTCTTTTATCCTCTGATTGTACCACGAGACCTGCTCATCTTATTCGGTTTGCCTTGATATTTTTAACTATGTTTTCAGTTCCATACAGAGTCACCAATTCAGCATTGCGCCATCTTCTCCAATCCCCTGTGAATTCATCTCTTTGAGGGCCAACTATTATTCTGAGAACTTTTCTTTCAAATATTAGAAGCTTATTGATTTCCCACTGGTTAAAAGTCCATGTTGCACTACCATATGTAATAATTTTGGCGAATAATCGACTTGTACAATTTTAATTTAGATTTTCTTTGATCTGTTAATTTTAATTAATCTAAGCTTTGATCTTAATAATGTTGAAAAAGTGTATAATGCTCTATTTCCTGCAACTATCCTTGCTGAGACCTCTTTTTCTATATGGTTATCAGCTGTGATTATCACCCCCCAGGTTTTTAAACTCCTTTACCACTTCGAAGTTGTGATCATTAATACTGATGTTCTGCCTAACTGTTGGTCTTGAATTTTTGGTTACTACCATATATTTCCTCTTTTTTTCATTTATTCTGAGACCCAGACTACCTGTTTTTTCCTCGAGCTCTTTTCTCTCTTACGTCTCTTGTAGAATGCGTGACTGCATCTATATCATCAGCAAAGGCCATCAACAGTTTTGATCCTTGATCAGCAAATTCTCCTGTCAGCTCAGACGATATTTTACTTATTGCAAATTCTAAAGCAAAATTGAACAGCAACGGTGACAAGGGGTACCCTGCCTAAGTCCTGAGTTTATGCCGATAGATATGATACCTCGAGCGCGAAATTGGGACGAGTTCGTGCATGACGTCACAACGAGAGTGATTTTAAATATTCCCCGTAAGAACATTAGCGCTTGGAACACAATTAATTTTTAATTTTCAGTCAAAATCGTTTCATAGATTAATAGAGTTTTTATTGAACTATTTTGGATTTATTAGAATATAGGTGTTTTATTATTTTGATTAAAAAAATAAATAAATAATACAGTAAACAAAAATAAATCTGTAAAATAAATTTGTAAATTTTTTTAAAACCTTTTTTTGTGTTCTTCGCTTTTTAATCTTTTATATCTTCTTTAAGTTTAAGGTTTAATTTCTTAATTCTAAAATATATTCAGAATCAAAAGAGGTTATGTAATCATCTATTCCACAATCCTCTTCGACTCTCTTTTGGAGAGACTTTCCTGCCTTCTAAGTTGATTTATGAATAAACTTTTTGATTGTGGCAGATGAAGAAAAGCAACACCATCACCATTCAGCTTAGGTTCTCTCTTTGGTTCATATTACATTCAAATTTCTTCTAAAGTCTTCCGGCTTAAAGTGTTTGAAACAAATCATAGCAATAACCCATAGTTTTCCACTACCGAGTCCTTGAAAAGAACATGAAACCTACCAGATTTATCGGCATATCTTGTCTGAATATGACTTAAACAACCAGCTACTACACAACGCATTTTATGTTTAGCTTATAAATTGTTCCTAGCGAAAGTCGTTAAAACATACCTTATTTGTAACTACCAAATTATTGTTCATATAAAGTAGGGATATCTACAAAGCCACTATCACTTACAAAATCGCATAAGGAGTTCAAAATATTCTTAATAACACTGTTTTTTACACTAAAAAGTATACAAATCAACTTAAATCTCACAAAACATCACACTCTCGCAAAATATACAAGCTTATCAAAAAAGCCAAAAGCTAAAAAATTGATAAAATTTCCGTTATAAACAGATATATTACAATGACGGTAACTCTCATTGTGACGTCAAGAGTAGGGGATCTGCTGACAGTGGCCTGCGCAATATCATACCTATTATTCTTTGTGCCGTATTTTAAAGTGGAGACCAAGGTAAGAAGCAATACAGAGCAGAAGACGCCCACCAACTAGATGGACTGACGACCTGAAGCGTGTTAGCAGTAACTGGATGCAAGCCGCACAAGAGACAGAGCTAAGGGCTAAGAGCTAAGAGCTAAGAGCTATGTCCAGCAGTGGACGTATAGGGGGTGATGATAATGATTCTTTGTACCATAGGTCTCACCCTGTTTAACTGATTTTATACCCTTGGTACGGTATGCGCGGTTACGGCCTGAGCGGGATGGGTTGGAGCGGGGAGTCACTGAAGTAGCGGTCGCCATATTGACGGTAGTCTTTTAGCGTCGTCACGCGTGTTTAAGTTGTTAGGGTGTTTTTTAATTTCGATAGCTTTACGAATAATTCTAGATTTTAGCAGATAGGAGCGATGGTTTTTGTGATGATGTTGGACTAGGACTGAAGTAGTATCGGAATGTTTTACAGATTTAAATACTGTTATGAATTCGTCGGTTTATCTGTCTTAGATCAGTCCTACTTTGACTGTTCTATTTACTATTACTGTGCATACTTTTCGTCTTATAATGTATTAATCTGCGTTGCTTCTTCGGTCCTTGATCCTTTTTTTTTTCTCCTATTTTTCTTGTACATTCACTTCTTTTCTTAAACCATATGTGACTGTATCTTCTAACATATTAGTTTTTTTTCTACATTTTACTTTTAACCAATTATGAGATAAGTATTAAAATATTTTTTTATCTTCATTTTTATATTTCGCATTTTCCTTATTTTAGGGCCAATAAACACTCTGTAAAAAGAAGCAAGAAATAATGACATTCAACTGTATCTCATCTATATAATGGCTCTAAATTTTTACCACTATCTAAAAACCGATAAACTTCCGATCCAATTATCGTTAAATTACCGAAAAGTACCCTTTAAAAAACCATAACCAATAAAAAACGCCTTATCGACTCACCTTTTCTGACGCCTCGATCTCCTTCGCTGCTGGAAGAACTCGCCCTCTCGATAGTCCTGGTTCTCCTTTTCGGCACTTTTGTCCTTTCGCGGCACTTTTTATTATTTTGTTTCACTGACGACGATGTCACGACGTTTTGGCAGTTCTGTCGAGCGATTTCACGATTCGGCGACGAAACGACGGCGGCGAGCAGATTGTCTTTAGTGGCACTATTATTGTTATTTTTTAACACGAGAGAGTTGTTATTTTTGTCAGTTTTGTGGTTAAGTAGATCATGGAATGGAAAGATCTCGCTGCGGAGGTAGAATAAGCCAGATGGCGTAGTGTTGGCTGTTATTAAACTGTAAATAAAAACAATAAAAGTTTTAAAAAGATATTGTGCAAAAATGTCATTAATTAATTATCTTCTTGATTCTTTTTTACAAGGTAAATTTAGTAAGATAATATGGACTAGATGAACACAATGAAAAAAGAGAAACATTTTTCCTTCTGGTGCACTCCATTACTGGAGGTTTGCGATCACTACATCAAACTGTTCTCTATAGGAAAAAAACTACTAAAATTGTATTGTTTATATGAGTGGCTCAGAGGCAAAGGTGCCTAACCCCAAAAATTTCTTTTACTTAAATTAGGCTTAGGCTTACGATTAGGCTTAAAAAGTGCTTATAATTTCTGTAAAAATCGTGTACAGAATCAGCCTAAACTTAATTTTTGTTAGTATGGTGTCCCCAAATATAAACTGGTTTTCGCACTAACAAAATGTCATAGGACGCTTGCGGCAAAACTGCCTAACCAACAAAAACATAGCGGATGTAAACATGAGCAAATACGTATCGGAGCCTTTCGGATCCGATTTCAGCGATATAAAAAGCGATTATAATCCCAGTTCTTCAAATATCAAGTCTTCAGATAAGACAGTAACAATATTATTAATCGCAGTTGACATCCCTGGATCTCTGTATTAGAACTTACAAACTAAAAAGTGCTTTCCTCGTTTCAAGTCCTGCTCTAAATCCACATTGAACTTCAGCCAGGTGTTCTTCTAATTTGGTGTATATGCGTAAATGAATGATAGTAAGGAGTACTTTAAGTATATGGCTCATCAAACTAATTAATCTATGTTCTTCACATTTTCTAGAGTTTGGTTTTTTATGAAGTGGAATGAATATTAATAGTAGCTAGCCTTTTGGTAAGTAACCCGTCTCGTAGATGTTGTTGAATATGCCTCTAATAGCTTTATAATATACCCATGCACCTTATCAGGTCCTGTTGATTTCCCATCTTTTATCTGCTTAATAGCAATAGTTACTTCTTCTTTTGTTAATTCTGGGCCGTAGGGATTGTTTATGTCAGTTGGACTTCGTGCTGCATCGTCGAATAATTCTTGCACATATTCTTTCCATCTTCTTAATTTATCTTCAACGGTAGTCAAAATCTGGCCCTTCAATGTTTACAAATGTGTCTGTATTTCGTTGTTTTCTGGTATTTTGTACCTCTTTAATTTTTTGTGCATATGAAAATCGTCATGTTTGCGTTGTAGTGTTTCAACTTCTGTACATTTCTCCATCAGCCATGCTTCTTTTGCTCTTTTTATCTCCTTTAGTACGGTCTTATGCAATTGTTGCAATTGTTTTTATTCGTTGTCATTTCTACCTTTTAATTTTCTTCGCTCTTCCATCATCTGCAATATTTTATCTGTCTTGTAGTGTCTTTAACTATTTGCGCAAAATTCTTATTAATCTCTGTTTTTACTATTTTCTGGGTGTGATTTTCTTCTAGTTGTCTTATATCTATCTTGGGTCTCATTTTCCTATGAATTATTTTGAGTCGTATAATATTTGCAACCAATAGACTATGATCTGAGAAGACATCTGCGCCTGGATATGTTTTTGTTGAATTGATAGAATTTCTAAACCTTTTGTTTATGTTAATAAAATGAATTTGGTTTCTTATGATTTTCCCAGGGGTATCAACGGGTGCTTTTCATGTATAAAGTCTTCTTTGATGTAATTTAAAATATGTATTCGTTACAACCATATCCGTCTCTTGGCAGAATTGAATTAGTCTTTCTCCTCTTTCGTTTCTTATGCCAATACCATAATATGACCCCACGACATTCTCGACTGTACCTTGTCCTATTTTGGCATAGAAATCGCCCATGATAATAGTAAGTTCATGCTTTTTGGACAGTTTTAGAGAGTGTTCTAGAGTCTGATAGAAATTTTCTATTTCTTCTTCAATGGATTCTGATGTCGGTGCGTAAACCTGAATGATGTATATATTAGAGGGACTTGAGTTAATTATCCGTAGCACAACTCTGTCTGATATGGGCGTAAATTATATTACTGCTTTAGCTATTTCCCTTTTTACTATTATCGCTATGTCATTTCTGTGACTTGTTGTGTCGTCTCCAGAATAATAGATATAGTGTTCATTTAGAATTCTTATTCCAGAATTTGGCCATCGAACTTCACTGCATCCTAAAATATCTATGTTCAGACGAGTCATTTCTTGAATAGTATTTCCTGCTTTGCCTGCTTGGTACATGCTTCGAATGTTCCACGTACCGATCCTTTTAACTTTTGGGACATTATTGGCTGACCGGGGGATTCTTAGCACCCTTTTCCCACTTAAGGGGTGCTCCGGACTGAGGGCCGTTTGTTTTGTTTTTTTAGCCATTGTAGTGTCCTGGGGATATCCTTACGAATCTTTAATGTGGTAGTCATCCCGTGGCTTTCCACATCTTAATGCCGTTGTCTAAGTAAGCTCTTCCGCCTTTGGAGTCAATTTCTCAGCTCCAGGGCAATGAAGTGCTCTACCACATGTCAGTTCTTCCACCCGTAGCTGTTGACCAACAAATAGGGGATTACTTTTACCGGTAATCGTTCGGTCATTTCGCATTATCACAACCGGTTAAATCATAATTAAAGCCTTTGATTATTCAGTATCAGACCTGTAAGGAGATTTTTCTCTACCACTCCGGTCCTGATATGATATAGTTGCTGCCCTATGCCATGCTCCCAGTTGATCAGCGGGTGTTTATTTGTAAAAAAAAACAGTATTACCAAATTATTTTAATTTAATTAATATTTTAGCCCTTTCACGTCGTGGTTTATTTTTATAAGGATTTAAAGATAAATTTTGAACTCCGACATTAGTCGCCAAAACGCTTTGACGGATTTTTAGTCGACCTTCAAATAACTTTGACCTTTATCAATACAAGTAAATCCATAGCCAGACGTATATCTCACAATTTTCGTAAACCATTTTCTTTTTCTAGATTTATTTAGAATTTTAATACTTACAAAACGATTTTCTTTAGCAAATACGTATGAATAAATTAACAAAATTCGGTGTTGTTTCACGATATGTTTACGCTTACACATTGTCTTTGTTCGTATCCGTATTTTTTGTTAAAGGATAGTCCGGAGCGGATTATAATGGCCGCCCTTTATAAACTGATAAAATATACTTCAATTTCGCTACAAATTTCGCTCCATTTTCCTTTCATCTTCTAGCCAAAGTAACAAAGTTATCGAAACTCTTTTTACCAAACACGAAGGAACAGTCCAGGAAACAGAAGAAATATAGAAATATATGTATATGTATATATGAGTGGTGCATAATATTGTCACATGTTAGTTTAACATCCAAGAAATAACAATCTTAATAACGTAAGTAAAAAAACAACTTTCATATCTTTTAATTAAAAAATTTTTTAGAGGATGTTTTACTAACTATAGCATTTTATTTTAGTTTTTCCTGATGATGAAAATAAATGAAATGAAATGAAAATTTTACTGTCGAAAGTTTGAAACTCAGTTAAAAGGGTATACTTATTTCACCGCTGCGTGTCCCAATAATCCTCAAAGCTCCGTTTTCTAACGTAGTCAGCGAAGACTTCTTTTTTCCTTTTATGTATATATATATATATATATATATATATATATATATATATATATAGCAAAACTGGTAAGATTATCGACCGAAACGTAAATAACAATTTATTGTGTTGGAATATCGGGTATGCGGTTTGTATTTAAAGAAAAAACTCTTTTTCGTTTTAATTCTCTATATTTCGCTGATTTTTTGTCAGCTTCATTAGGAGACAAAGATTTAGAGTTTAAAAATATTTAAAAAAGTTTTTGTACATAATATGTTCAAAACAGTACTGTTTTGAACATATTATGTACAAAAATTTTTTTAAATATTTTTAAACTCTAAATCTGTGTACTGTTTTGAACATATTATGTACAAAAACTTTTTTAAACATTTTTAAACTCTAAATCTTTGTCTCCTGATGAAGCTGACAAAAAATCAGCGAAATATAGAGAATTAAAAGGAAAAAGAGTTTTTTTTAAATACAGACCGCATACCCGATATTCCAACACAATAAATTGGTATATAAATATATATATATATATATATATATATATATATATATATATATAATATATATATATATAATATATATATAATATATATATCTATGAGGACAAATTCGTTAAACTTCGAATGTCTATTTTTAGGAGACTTATAGAGACTAACTAGGTGTAAATTTGTTCCACTAGCAATTGGATGCTTACAGAAAAGTGTTACAGTACCGTTATAATCCGTCGTGAATCAATAACGAAATTATCCTTCATCGGACGGATCTCAAAATATTACACAAAACACCGGGGTCAAAACACATTCTCAAATGGGTGAACTATGCTTATACGAAAAAAAAACTGTACCAGTAACACATTGTTTTTATAGCATTGAAAATTTATTAGACTAAAGCATACACATTATTATAAAATAGATTCTACTACTGACGCTAACAGACTAAATAATAACTACATACTATTTGTACAATGTACACAAACTATCTCTGATTTTGCGTGTTCTATGATACAAAATTGATACATTTTACACATTTTTTACTAGTTTTTCTGTAAGAACGCTTGTTATTCTTTTCGATGTGCTCATTGTTCTAACGTCTAAAAACATACTCCTTTATAAGTTCCTTGTCCAAGTGCCAAAATATACATTTTACGCTTACTTATATTGTGCTTTTTCCACTCAGGATATTTTAGTAGCCACAATTTATAGGCGACATTAATAAGATGAGAGAATATAGCCATCGGCCAACGGTTTGTTTTTCTTTGTACTGTATATTCTTTAGCTAAGTTATCGGTTGTATCGACGGCTATCGAGGTTAAAAAACAAGAAAGCTGTCGATGTGGATGATATATGCAATGAACAAATAAAGCATCTAGGCCAAGGAACAAAAAACTGGATCTTTATCAATTTTATAACACATACTGCAAAACCTGCAAAATTCCAAAATCATGGAGGAAATCTAAAGTAATAGCCTTGTTAAAACCAGGAAAGGACCCAGAAAACCCCAGTAGCTACATTTAGCTATTGTGTCACTTTTCTAAACTATACGAGAGACTCATACTCGCCAGAATAGAAAAAAATGTCGACAAGCACCTCATCCCACAACAAGGAGGATTCAGACCTGGCAAATCTTGCACCGATCAAGCCCTCGTATTAACAAAACACATTGAAGAGGGCTTTGAAGAAAAACTTATAACAAGGGCTGCTTTTGTACATCTAACAGCAGCCTATAACACAGTAAGGTACAAAACATTGCCCCCCAAATTATACAACACTCTCAAGGGCCACCATCTGGGAAAGGTCGTATATTTTTTACTGCAAAATAGACGTTTTTTCGTTATGCTGGAGGGTAAAGTAAGTATGTGGAGAGTTCAAAAAAACGGCCTTCCACAGGGAAGTGTTTTAGCACTAATGCTCTCCATTTCCAAAATCTAGGAAAAGCTTCCTTAAAACAGTGCAGGATGAACCGCCTGAGTATTTTTCTCTCCCCATATTCAATGGACCGGCCAGACCCTAGACTTTAAAACGTGGAAAACTAGGAATAAGGGGGTCGCTATAGTAAAATCAAACATGGCAAAATAGGGAAAAATAGACCGAGATGATGTGAACTGTGACTGTGGAGAAACACAGAATATGGAACATCTTCTTACATGCAGAAACTGTCTTCATCGATGTACCCTTGAAGATTTGTGGCTCGCCAACAAAGATGAAACCGACGTAGCCCGATACTGGGCCAAAATTTTATGAATGACATGTCCGGGCACGATAAAGTAAAGTAAGTATTGACGGCTCCTTTCGTTTTGTTGTAACGTAGAATAATTTCAGGTTTATAGGAGTGTTTTTTACCAGCCACTTTGTCGTCAACATGCTCTCTTTAAAGTAAGATGACTGCAGTTCTTGGTTTTGGAACATAGGAGACTAACGTTCGATGTTTTCTAAAAGCAAACATACTTGAATAATCTCTTTTATACGACGCTGGTAGAAGCTCCCTTGGAATAAACGTTTTATTTTTCGAAGAGTTCAGTTGTTAGTTGTTATTTCAAACTCTCCTTCCAAATCGTTTATTAAGTCTAAGACAATTCTGGCCTTGAGCTTGTTCCGTCTTAGGACCTTGTTTTCCTAAAAATTAATAGATTTAAAAATTTGCTTGTTTTCTTATTGGCAATTCAAAAACTTGTCCAAATAAATTTGCATGTTTTCAATAAAAGTAGTGCAGTCCACAAGGGCCCATTTCTTTAATCCGTACTTGTCAGGTTTGCTCTTCATATAAACTAGGAATGGAGATTTACCTCTAAAAGGCACGAGCTGCTCATCTACACACAGATGGTCACCTTAATTAAGTGATTTCTTACCATTAGAAATAAAAATATCACATACATCTCTTATTCGTGGCAGTTTATCTACTGATTTTCGTTCTTGTCTGGTTTCAAAATTGTCAAAACGTATAAATGAAGTTATTTGTTTGAACCTATCTCTAGACATAGCAGCTGGTATAGTAGGACGGCAGTAAGCAATATCGTCACACCAAAGCATATCGATCGCCTCTTTCGATCCATGAAAAGCTCCAAGTATAAGCAATACTCCAATATAAGCTTGAATCTCTACAGAATGAACGCAAACATACAGTTTAATTTTATTTGGGTTTTCAATATTCCATTTATCGTAATAATACGCTTGAGCTCTAGTTTCAATTATTATGTTTAGAATTTCGTCTGAAAAAAAAAACAGAAGAAAAGCGTTTTTATTACTTGATATATCATCACTGTAGTTTTTAAATTCTAGAGTATGTCTACGAATATTGGCCTTTGCACGTTTCACTTTTGTGTTTTTTTGGCAACCTTGACCACTCAGTTTAATCTTTAGATACATATACCGATAACCCTTGGAAATCAGTAACTGTTGGTTCATTTTGCTCTTTGCTTTGATCTATAATAAGGTCATTTTCTTCTTCTATCTCTGTTACATTGTCTTTATCTTCGTTACATTATTTTGTTAAATTTTATCGCAGCTCAGGGAATTCCCCATTTAAATATGTAAAACCCGTCATAAAATGTGTGGAATTCCACGTTATAACAACTTTATTAGAATTAAGTGCCGTTTCACATGAGACGTACAACACGCCCTACGTCGTACGCCGCGCGTCTGACGTAGAACTCTCTTCACATGGAGACGTAGCAGCAGTATCAAAATGAACGCGGATGGGTATACATCGTGCGTTGTTGCCATTGCAGCCTACTATTTAATTAAAAAGAATCGAAGAAAAACTAGGCAGTTTTGGGTGCATCCTATTGTAAATGCAAGATTATTAAAGGGGGCATTTGTAACTCTGTATTCAGATCTAAGGGAGCATCCGAGAAAATTTTTTAATTACTTTCGGATGACCACAACGACATTTGATGAATTATACGCTAAATTGGAACAGAATTTGACACACAAAAATGTAGTTAGACTGTCAATTTCGCCAACAGAACGACTATGTGTGACTTTAAGGTAAGTAAATACATAGGTACCATACAATAATAGACTTTTTATAATCAACATATTTATTATTATTATTGCATGTGCGCGAGTATTTATTTTTGACATTGAGTATATTGCTGATTGTTCGTCAACTGTTCAGAAGGTTGACCTAAAATATGGTATGTTGATGAAGGCGACATTTCGTATGCTCCAGGACAACACATTGGTGTTGCTGATCCACTTGACATGGAGGATGATTGCGGTTGCGTATAATTAACATTATGGCTGGGATAAAAATTCACATGTCTTGCAGGCGGTTCATGGGACATATTTTTAATTCGAACGACTGAATTTAGAACTTCAATACGAAACTGAAGCTTCTGTTCTTCACTGAAATTGTGTAGGGTTGGCAAGAGAGAATCCAAAAATGATTTGTCAGCATCAAATTTTGTTTCTTCGGATCGTTTTAAAAATTCACTTAAATCTTTCTCTAATGAATTTTTGTTCGACTTTTTGTTATAAATTTTCGGTTTGGCTTGCACTCGTTCTTCAATCACCCCTTCATCATCTTCCATGCCTGATAACGATTCACCATCATCTTGGTAATTTTGATCTACCTCAGAGCTCTCATTAAAGTTTGGTTCAGTGCTAAAAATGATTTTTATTATGAAACTTGTGTATACGCGATAAGGATAAAAAGCAATTTTATTTAATTCTTAATACATTTGTAGGTCACATTTATAAATGTCAAAACCATTTTATTTAGATATTTTGATGATAACATTCAACATTTTTAGTAACGTTCATAAAAAATACCTGTTTATATCCATAGTTTTTTCCAAAAATCTCAAGTTCTCGTAATATATATATATATTTAGAATGTTTTTTAGCTGCTGAACCACTCTTTAAAAATTTTCCTTAGCTCGGCAACGTGTGAAGGCATCTCTAACTGTTTTCCACCGCTTTTGTAGTTTAACAACTGAAAAAAAAATCATATATTTTTATATAATTTTTCTTAATAGAGTATTTTCGTTTATTTCAGGTATTTAGCAAGTGGCAACACACTTACGGACCTACATTACACATATCGGCTGGGTATTTCAACTATAAGCAGTATTGTGGAAGAAGTATGTAGCGATATTTGGGCTTTACTAAAGGATGAATGCATAAAAATTCCGACTGCAGAAGAATGGGAAAACATGTCCAAGGAATTTGAAGAACGTGCAAATTTTCTTAATTGCATCGGGGCCGTAGATGGCAAACACATGAGAATCATGAAGCCAATAAAAAGTGGTTCTCTTTTCTATAACTATAAACATTTCTTTTCGGTTCTTCTTATGGCAGTTTGTGACGCAAATTACTGCTTCATTTATATTGATGTCGGAGCATATGGAAAGTTTTCCGATTCAACAGTATTTAAAAATGGCCCTTTTTGGCAAAAACTTGAAAACAGTTCGCTAAATATCCCAACAGGAAAGCCCCTACCTGGAGGAAGTCAAATTGACCTACCATATGTCATAGTAGGTGATGAAGCCTTTCCACTAACAAAAAATTTATTACGCCCTTATGCTCGAAAGAACTTAAATTACAAAAAGAAGATATTTAATTACAGATTAACCCGTGCTAGACGATATATCGAATGTACTTTCGGAATATTGTCAAATAAATGGAGAATTTTCCACAGACCATTGAATGTAAGCTTACGACTTTCAAAAAAAATAATTAAGGCCAGCTGTATATTACACAATTTCGTTCGCGTAAGAGATGGTTTCCAGTTTAAAGATACCTTAACAGTCCATGGATTTCGGGATGTCACAGAAAGAAGAACACAGAATTTTACTACAAACACAACACGAGATGCCTTTGCTAATTATTTTGTAGGCAATGGAAAAGTTCCTTGGCAAGATAACAAAATCTAAGCATTTTATCATTACAACATGCATTTTTCAATAAAATAGACATAACAATAATTACGTACCTGTGCTTTTCTTTTCCTTGTCTGTTAATTCTGCAAAGTTGGAATTAAAACACCAGCAATATCCTCCCACGACTGTTCCCTGACATCTCGGTTTTTATAATTTTCATTCGAGAGGTCCCAAATATTCCGCTTTGCTTCAATTGTACTTATTAATAATTCGGTATCAATATCCATTATGACGACCGTACTTGCTGCAATGCCATTTACAAACTGAAAAAGTTCAAATAACGACAGTCGACAGTGGCTACACCGCATGTACCCCACGTTGACGTCGCTCGCCGCGCACGGCGCTTCATGTGAAAAATACATTAACCGCAATGCCAACACGCTTGGCGTAGCTACGTCAGGCGTGCGGGCTAGGCGTGTGCTCGCGCTGTAAATTTCGCGCCGCTCACAAAACGCCTGCATCTGAAAGGCTATATTTGAATTAATGCCAACTGATTTTCAGACGTAGGGCGTAGAGCGTGTCCTACGCCTCATGTGAAACGGCACTAATTTTATATGACATAAAAGGCTGGGCGAGGTATTAGGGGACCCCAGCCTATAAAATTTAAGTTTAAATTTAATCTAACCGTTAAATGTTCTTGTAGGCCTAATTTTTTATCAATACAATATATTAACTACAGATAAATGGAAGACTGTCGATTAAAAATTAAGATCTATAAAGTAACAGTCAAAAATTGTGGGTCAAAATATACCCCGGCCAGTTCGATGAAGGATCAATTCGATTTGACTGTATAAAATCAGATGAAGTTGCTCCGGGAAAAATATTAATATTTTTCACTAATAATTATTTGATATTTTTAACTAAAAAATTTTTTGATATCAATTAAGTAATTAATAATGTGGCAAAATATTTACGCTACAAAATAAGCTGGACCAAACTAGAGTAATAGCAAATTTAAATTTGATTTCACATCTCCATCTTCGGTAAAGAAATAATACACTTTTGACCACACGTCGATATGTACAATGATGAAATAATTTATTTATGGCATAAAACATATTCGGCATTAATCAACCAATGAATTAATGTCTAATAACGCTAAAAACATGAATAAAATGCATAAAATGAAATAATAAATAAGAGTTTAAGATACTATTGTATCTGTATAATCCTTTGCAGCACTTGGGCCTCTAGCGGAGTTTGCTGAAAGCGGAGTTAGAATCGTTACCTAACTCGATGCAAACGATGCATTGCGTTTCCCCTCCTTCTTAAAGTGGCTTCCCACGATCGGCGGTTCAACAGATCATCGCGGATAGCCGATCAGCACGGACGACAACGCACCGCAGACAGAGCTCTTCCTACGGTCCGTGACAGTCTGTGTAGGTCCGTGACAGAAATGTTTGATTATATCATAAAAAGGCCACTCAGGCTTGTAAACATCATTGCCTTCTGTATGTCGACATTAAATTATCTCTCTTCTTTTTTAATTCTTTAATCGAAATAGTACTATTCTTCAATTGACTTTATTCGGTTCCATATATCGTATGCATCGTTCCGGTTCTTATGCTCTGGCGCCGTGGAATTCGATAAACTTGGTTCATTTTGATACAACTTTAAAAAATCAAAAATAACTTTTTCATTCCATTTTTTAGCAAAAAAACTGCAAAACAACTTTGACAACACTACAAACAACTACTCGTGTCAGTGATTGAAAAACTTCTGACTTGCGCTTGTCGTCTGTTAAAAGACAGACGCGCTAGGATCGCGTCGCACGAGCATGTACCGCACCTTTGATGTTACCGGCTCTAGATGGATAGGACGGACCAGCACAGACGTGCCTGTGCTACCACGGACGACACCTTTTCCACGGTGCTTGGTACGGGCTGGTCCGCTTACGTCCGCAATATCGCCGACCGTGGGAAGCCGCTATTACGGTGTAACAATGTTGCACATTAGCGCCCTTCTAATTGAAATGTTTTGATATTAATACTTATTTCTTTATATTGTAACAATTAGAGTTAACTTCTCGATATTTTGTTGTATTACCCCCCTTTTAAATTTGTGATATCCAACAATGGCTTATTTTGTTGTTTTTTATATTTTCTAATTTTACTTGTATAGCTTTTTCTGCAATTTGTGCATATACCGATAGATACATTTTTTTTTTATATTTGATCACCATCTCCCGGACTAAACATCAATACAAAAAACAGAAACTCGGTCAAGACAAAGAAACAACTTACCTCTTTTTCTCAGTCGATTGTGCTCCTTTGAACGCTTGTGATCGATTGAAACTAGCGCATTTAGTGAGCAATGCCGTGGGATCGCTGGTTTGTCTGGTATGTCTTTTATTCCCTTTAGTTTGGAAAGTACGTGGTCCAGAATCAACCGAAATCTCGGCATCGTTTTTGTTGACCAACACTGGATAAGACGACGTTGTTGCTAGTGGGACAGCTGGAAATAA